CACGGGCCTGCACCCAGTGCGACCAACACGTATGTGCAGGTACACACATGGAAAAAACACATATGTAATGAGAGCTCACATACTAATACACACTCATACCGGGTCGTCATCCCCATAAATAGACACACACACACACTTCTGTGCAGCCAAACCAGAGTCCTCACTGGGTGTGATTATATCCAGGAGAGAGGTAATGTGTTGCGCCTGAGGTAGGAGGTGGTAGATGGAGGAGACATGAGTGTTTTGGCCTTGAATTTCACCCAGGACTGCATCCCTGCGCCCATTTCACTCTCTTAGAGAGAGAGATAGGAAGAGAGAGAGAGAGACCAAGAGAGACAGAGAGAGAGAGAGCTGTACACTGTGGGAAGTATGAGGCCATGGTACAGTGAGTGTTTAGGGAGCACCTTGTTTCAACAAAATACTCTGCTGACTCTTCCAGACTGTAATGAATACCCAGAATGAGGATAGTCTCTCTCTCTCTCTCTCTCTGGCTCTCTCGCTCTCTGACATGTCAGCAGTAAGCCATTTGTGTCAGCAACCCAGGCCTGATGAGTGAAAGTTTGTGGATGGTGAAAATGTGTTTTTTTTCTCCTTAAATCCCAGACTGAGTGCTGAAGGTGAGATGATGAAAACTGCAGTTTCAATAGTAGGCCACTCATCTTGTCTATGAGCTACAGTAAATAATTACTCAGGCATCACAAACTTCCAAATGTCATTCGATTTAATACTTTGTTATTTACGTGTTCACAACACACGTTGGTTTTACTTCATCTCCTGCTGTGATGGCGAATTTAGCGACACATGTCATCGTAACCTAAATAGGCCGTGAGCAGTGAGCGGTGATAATGATGTGTCTAACCTCACTAAATACACAGCAGATGCTGCTATTTTTGTTTTTAGCTGCAGTGACAAAATGAAGTCAGCGGGTCATCTGGTGGGTCAGAACTAAACTGAATGACCCCCCGCTCTCCCCTCGTCTCCCCAAAAAAACCTTCTTTGTTTAAAAGTACTACACCAATTAAATAGTTGAATATAATGATGAGCCTTTGACTATTTGAAGTATATGTGTATAAGTGGAGGAACATACTTCAAAATAACTACTGTTTCTCCATTAACACCATTACCATGAGTAACACAAGTACATCCACATTAAGCCACAATATTCAACTTTATACTTTATGTTTCAAGCGACATCTAATGGTGAAGCTACGTGTAGCAATAACTATTTAAAAAATCCTGTCCTGCTCATCAACAACATCAACTCACTAACGTGTGAAAATCGTAAAGAAAAATTGATCGTTCAATCGTTTCCTATAAGGATGAGGCAGAAAGGGTTAATTAATAAACTGTCATATATTTCCAAAATTAGAGCACTTGGAAAAAGAAAAAAAAAAAGAGAGATTATCAGCAGTTTGATATGATTGGCTATGGTCCTTAATTTGGGCTAGTCTACAGTGGTATAAACGTAATAAATAATAAATAAAAAACGATAATCAAATCACTATTTCATGTTTATCCAAATATGATTTACCGGGATTCTCTTTGGACTGAGGAAGTAAAAAAAATTAGAATTTAAATGTATTTGCCTTCTTGTGTCATTTTTTGAATATCTGTGACCCCTCCCTGGAACCCGCCCCTCACATTGGGAACCACTGTAGTAGTGCAAATGTGGCAGACTTGAAAATTATTTTAATAATGTTTAAAGTAGAAATGGTTTAACAACATTGAATTTCTTTTGCCTTTTTGTTAACTTTGTTAGCAGTACAGTATTCAGTGTTGAGGTTTAATCCAGATGCTTGTGTGTCAGTGTGCGTTTGCGGTTTATAAGTGATACTGCCTCACAATGTGTGTGTGTGTGTGTGTGTTCATATTAAAAACTGCTTCATCAGCATCCTGAATCACCCTTCAAACTTGAACCACCAGTCTGACACTGCTGATGAATAACAGCTCATTCCACTCTGGTCCCATACTATAGCGATGACCCTCACTCGCAAATGAGCACGAACTGCCGTTTGAGTGAACTGTTGATACCGACCCGGGGGTCGGCACAGCCTATCATGTGACACTCTGAAAAACACACACTGGTGTGTTTTCATACTCGGCCAAGTCCAGACAAGAGGTGGAGAAATAGCCGGCGAATACGGGCCAGCTGTTGGAGCCCGTCGACCTTGGGTGTCAGCCTAAGTGTAATTATTTTTCACGCATGCCATGTTGACCAGATAGAGAGGGCTTGTGTTCTATTTATCAGGCCTCCCGCATGAGGTGAGGGTGGAAAGTGCGTGCACATTTGCACACGTGTCGGCAGTGACCTGTTTCCTCCAGGTTGATGTGGCCAGATTAAAAAAAACAAAAACAACTCACAGTCACTGAAAAAAACTACAGGCACATTCATTTCAGTACAAATCTGATCTGGGTTTGAACAGAGCTGACAGTGATTAATTGTAATCTTCAGCGCGGGGAATAACTCCCATAATTCACATCAGCAGCAGTTGGTTAGCAGCTCGCCAAGTTGAGCTTCTCCTGCATTCATCGGCTTCTCCTCCTTGATCAGCAGGCTGTTGAGTCTGTGCTCTGTGTAGAGTTCCCACATTCAATAAAATATGTTCGGGTGACATGGTGGAAGGGCGGTTAGAGTGCTTGCCTTACAGCAAGAAGGTCGTGGGTAGTATGGTTTGATTTCCAGGGTTTCTAGAACGCAGTGGTAACATCATAATCTAGGACAGGGGCGTCAAACTCATTTTAACTGGGAGCCACATTTGAAATACAGTTCCTCTTGAAGAGCTGGTTGTGACTGAAGGACTGCACAGATGTAACTACTCCATGAAAACAATCATGTCAATTTATCAGGTTAAGAAACTCAGTAGCATGGACTTTATTATAAGGCCATTAAATGCTTTTTCAAGCTCCCGCAGGCCACACAAAATGACTTAACTGGCCACTTTTGGCCCACGGGCCTTGATTTGACACATGTCATCTAGGACATTAAAACATCAGAAGAGTCTGACCTATGCTTGGAAGCCATGAAAAAGGGCAAAAAGTTCCCAAAAAAAAAAAAAAACAACACAAAGGAAAGACAGTGAATGTGGCACAACTGGCAAACGTATAAATATAAATATTGATACATCCGCTCTGCTCGCCAACTAGCTCCCGTGTAAAATGTGTTTTTGTCGGAGTGATGGAACCAGACTCTCTTAATAAACGTATGGGAGATGACGACCTAACCACGAAACACTGTAGGTCGAGGACGTCGTACACTGAGGACACCCAGTAATTACCAATGGTATCTTGTTTTTATATGTGGCCTAGTGAGCACGACCTTGACTTTGAAGACGTCATACTACAGTACTGATGACATCACACAATGTGTTGCAGCAGAAAAAACAAAAAAACATCCCAGACATGGAAATGGATTGGTGCTCTCGTCTCTGTCCTGCAGATTTAAACTGCTGCAAGGACTCGTTAATGTCTGAGGGACACTTGTCAAACTCCAATAATGTAGAAGAAAATCTTATCAGATGTCTTCAAATGCCAGGCCAGGAGAAATACTGTAGAGAGCTGTCATTAGAATGGAGAATATCAGGTCATGTTAGGTAAGACTTTGTGAAAAAAAAAAAAATGTAAAAGCCATTTCCTCACAGAGAAAAGGGAGGAGACGTTCCTCCTCCCTCC